AGTCGGCTGATATAGAAGAAAGCTTATTTTCACGATAGTGAGTTAATCTCCATTGAAACACAGCTACTCCTGTTCTTCTTTTTGCGGATACAGACTAACACGGCTGCTACTCTGAAACCTGTCAAATCCTGAGGAGTCACTGCCTTCAAGAACCTACCTTATGGCACCATAGACAAGGACCATCTGTCGGGAATCAGGGCCTGCAGCAGAGCCAGTCTCCAGGTAACCTAACGAGGAGAGCTGGCCTGTACCAAGCTGCCTGATTGGTGGGAAGGGTCAGCAGACAGGCTCTGAAGCCCAGCAGTAGCAGTTCAGTAGCTGCTCAAAGCTTTTGCCCATAGCTATGATAGCTCCGGCCTTGGACCAGCCCTGCTCCTGCCTGGCCTCTCTCCAGGTCACCTGGTTCTGACCCTCAGCTCCGATTCCTCATCTCCAGGTTCTGCTCCGACCCCGATTCAGACCCTGGGTTCCGACTCCTGGCTCCTGCCCCTCGCTCTGACCCTTGGCGCTGGCATTTGGCCCCTGGCTCTGACCCACAGCTCTGGTTCTTGGCTGCCAGGTCCTGCTTTGACCACAAGACCTGACCACCCACATCCCACTCTCTGACACCATCAAGCATGGATAGTCATTAGCTGCCTCTGTCATCTTCTTCCTGTGTTAACCCTGTTACTACGGCACCACCTGGACCAAGAATGATGTTCTGTCTACGTCTCCAAGACAACAGCTGCAGACAAGAGCTATAATCACAGCTGAGACTTGGACAGCACCATCTCACGCATAGGGAGCCGCACTGTGATCTGGATGAAGATCTGTTCTTCTGTTTGGTTTTTGTTAAGAAGAGCTACTGCTCAGAAAGTGACTTCGGCATTACAGCTGCACCACCTTAGATGACTATTTACAGCAAGACTCATTAACAACCCCAAGCCACTGACATCTCTGATCATTATGTTAGCAACCAACCACTCAGTATGGGCACCTCTTACGTTTTACTGTATACAGGATTAAAAAGGTTAGTTGTGTCCAGATACTTCACACCGGTTAGTTTTAATGAGAGGGAAGGAACACTGGCTGGAATAGGAAAATAACAGATAAGTTAACAGATAAAGAATATTTAGATAAGTTAGATCTATGCAACTCGGCAGAGCCTGATAAAATTCACCATAGAGTACTTAAGAAACTAGCTGGAGCAATCTCTGAACCATTATTATCGATTATCTTCCAGAACTCATGAAGGACACAAAAGAGAAATTATCAGAGGTTTAGAAAACATGACCTGTGAGGAAAGGTTGAAAGAATTGGGCCTGTTTTGTCCAGAGACGAGACAGCTTAGGGGAAACATGATAACAATCTGCAAATATGCAAAGGGTTGTTATAAAGAGGACTGTGATCAATTGGTGCCCATGTCCACCAAGGGTAGGACAAGAAGGAATTGGCTTAGTTAGCAGCAAGGGAGAGTTAAGTTAGATATTAAGAAAAACTTTCTAACTCTAAGGATGGTTCAGCACAGGAATAGGTGACCTGGGAGGCTGTGCAATGTGGGTTGTAAGAACAGGTTGGACAAACACCTGCCAGGGATGGTCTAGGTGCACTTGGTCCTGGTTCAGCACATAGGGAAGGGTTGTTTGACCTTCTGGGGTCCCTTCAACTCCACATTTCTGTGATTGTGTGAAGTGGTGCTAGGCCCTCTGCCCTGTAGTCAGCTAAGTACTGCCCCATAGGTACTCAGCAAAGTAAATGGTTATGGGGCTGGGAGAAGTGGTAGGGCAGAAGGAAGGAGAGCAGGGCATGTGGAGAAGACGGTGCTTTCATGTGTGCAGTACTATGGGTTAATACGATATAATGCAACAGGAAATGAGTCCACTAGGCTTCCTGTCTAATTTCTCCGAGATAAGGAGGCTGCAAAGCTCAGAATCCTCAGAACTCGACCTGCCCTGACAGCGTCTGAGCCACCATGGGAACCCGAGGAGACGTGTATCCATTGGGTGAGTGGAACAAAGTCCATGGGCTGAACTCGGGTGGGGCTAGGAGAGTCCAGAGGGGCCCACAGGTCTCTCTGCGCTGGGACTGGACGGTGAATGTTCTAGCTCGAGAAGACAAAGTCACGCTACCTCTCATCTAGCTAGAAACAGAAGTGTCGCCATGGGGGCAAGAGGGGCTGGCCGATCTGAGTGCATACCTGTGGTCTTGGATGGGATCGTAGTTGGGGCAGGGAGTCTCTCCTGTTGCTTGCCCAAGCACGGTCATGCTTCAATTTTTGGCACGCCAGCTGGGTCAGAGCAAGCCCGGGTATGTCTCCTCGAGCTAGAATTTACACCTAAGCAGACGCTACACTGGTGTAACGTGCAATTTCCTCTGCTCCCTCCAGTGCTCACGTTGCACCAACTGAGACTCCTTTCAGACTCACTGAAACACCCTTAGATTTACTGGGCCAGATTCCCAGGGCTGGCTGAGATGGGCTCATCTGAGATGGGCTCACTATGAGACCTGAGCGTGGAGGGGTCCCAGATGGCTTTCCACCACTTTCACAGCTACTGAATCCCAGGGGATAACTGCGGGTCAGTCTGGTCCCTGGTAGCAAAGCAGCCCAAAACCTTCCCTGATTCATCCTCAACTGTCCGTAGCCCCAAGGGACCATTCCAGCAGCTGACAATAGCCAGAGTGGAGGAGTACATTGGCCATAACACTCACCTCTGGGAATGCCCACTCTGCCTGGGGGCTGTAACATAGAGCCAGTACACCAGGGGAATTTCCAGGTAGCTGGTTGAGCCAGATTTCTGTAGGGGCACAAAGCTGGGATTCCAAAATATCACTACAGTAATAATCGTTCTTAATGAAAGAATTGACTTCATTGGATTTACACCAGAATCACAGTGGGGTAAATAAGCAAAATTTGGTCCATAGACAGGGGCCAGGAGACACATCTCTGTCTCTCGCTCTCTTTCTCTGTTTCTTATTTCTGTGTATAACATTTTTAAAACACGTATTTAGTTTTTATTTCTCTCAAGTATTTCTCCTCCTCGTCCTATTTCCCTCCCTACCTCCAGGGATCACAAATGTCATCCGGTACGTACCCAGGCTGACAGAACGTAGGGCTGTATGTGCCGCGTTTGTGCTCATCATGAGAGTCCCACACAGAATGTGTCTCTGCCATGAAGCTAACACAGGCTTGGCAGCTCTCGATCGGTTTGTCGGCACTGTAATGAGGGGTGGGGTCATCGGATCTGGGTCATTAGGATCAGCTGAATTGCTTAGGTGGGGGTTAAATCTATTTCTGAAGTGTTCACCGATATATGCCGGTCCAATATAATATATCACATGATTAATAGTTATGATTCACATTACATATATTAATATGGATAGTATGTGCTTAATTCATATAACATTATATTTTATGTACACTTCTGACAGTCACATGGCCTGAAATGGTGGCCTGTGTCTTTCTATAGTCTAAGGGTACATCTTCACTACCTGCCATATCGGCGGGGAGCAATCGATTTATCCCGGATCAATATATCGTGTCTTGTTAAGACACGATATATTGATCCGGGATAAATCGATTGCTCCCCG